GATAAAATGAGGCAAAGGGAGGTTAAGTAACTTGCCCAAGTCTTCACACAACTGAGTGATGGAACCAGGATTTGGATCCAGGCAATGTGGCTCCAGAGAGGTTGCTCTTAAGTGTTCATCATCTTTATTCGATCCTGCTGACCTTCTTGGCAGTGTTATTCCCACTCTTCAGAAGCTAGAGAGACTCAGATTTTACATAACTTGTCCAGGTTTCCACAGGAGTAAGTAGTAGAGTTGGTATTCAAACCCAGGTCTAATCTTGCTCAAAACCTTTGTTCTTTTCACTAATCCAGGGCAAAACACAGACCTCAGGCCAAATCCAGCCCACTACCTGTCTTGTAAATAAAGCTACTTTTATGCTACAATAGGAGAGGAGTACTTCTGACAGAGGCCTTTACAGAAAATGTTTGCTGAAACCTACACTAAAAACGTAGAATGGGTGAAAAGCAGCAACTCCCACTTCTGTCTATCAGCAGCTGCCTAGAAAGGTAGTCATTCACATTTTAGTGTGAATTCACCAATCACATCTGTGGTCGCTCCCTGAGAGTATATCATAGAGTCAAAAACAGAAGGGGGGACTTCCCTGGTGGCCCAGTGGTTAAGACTCTGCCCTTCCACTGCAGGGGGCATGGGGTTCCATCCCCAGTCAGGGAACTAAGATCCTGTATGCCACGCAGTGCGGCCAAAACGCCCCCCAAACAAACAAAAAAACAAAAAACAGAAGGGACTTTACAGAACCACCTAATCCAACCTTTTCATTTTACCGATTGGAAAACTAAGGTTTAATAACTGTTGCCAGGAAAACAGATGAGATATTGGATCTGGGGTGGATTAAAATGAAAAGTCAACATGATGCAGGGTGATGGAGATTTAGAAATGAACTCTGTTGTCATACTGATTTCATTTGGGTTGAGGACAGAGAGAGATGCCATGTACTATCGGAAGAAAGAGGCCCCCAAAGGTAATATATACCAGTGAGTCTTCAACATTTGAGAATCTGATGAATGTATCAATTCTCTCTCCCAGAAAGGTAGACACAAACTCATGTACACAAAAATTTGCGTTTCATTTCAGAAGGTTCTGATATTTCTGAAGCCTATCCATGAACACTTAGTGTTAATAACCCCTGACCCATTGCACAGATGAACAAATTGAGGCCCAGGGAGAGACTCCACATATCAGGGCCTTTTGGAAAGAGATGAAAATGAAGCCCTCTCTCTCCAAACATAGGACAAGGAGTGCTATTAAAATTGGGACATTTCAAAAGCCCACCAGTTTCTTAAAGTGAAGCCCACCTGTGAGGCTTCTCCAGCTACATTTGTCAGCCTAGGGGACAGAGTGGCAGCCAGCCCCCCAGAAGAGCTGCCCTTTCCCCCTCTGCTCCAGGCTCCCTCCTCTACTCCCGCAGGGCCCCTTATTAAATGTCTGCAGGCGTGAGGGGAGGGCTGGAAGCAATGTGGCTGCCTTTTGTTTGATTCATTATAATAAACCCTAACTCCAATTCTGGAGGTAAAATTTAAATGATCAGATGATAATACCCTCTCTGGGATGTCTGCCCAACTCCAATTCGACAAGCAAACCCACCCCAACATCTTTGGCATAAATGTATTTGACTCTCCCAATGCTGCTGTGCAAGGTTGGGTTCATGGCTATCCAAAAAAAAAAAATTCCATAAGCTCCAAATGGAAGGGATCTTAGAGGTATGCAACCCTCTCTCACACCCCTACCTGACACTGAATTCCCTCTACAACCTCCCTAAGAGACATCACTGGGGTGCTCACTACTTCTGGCACTATCCCATTCTCTGTTTGGCCTCAATTCAGCCCTCGGGCCCACCACCCACTCCCTGACAGCCTTTACATACTTGAAGACATAGACTGAATTGTTGGTTGTCAATACCTCCCTTATACTGGTGTCACTGTCTATCTGCTTACTTGCGTTAACAATAACAATGTAAGGTCACACCTTCCCCAAACAATACAATATAGCAGTAAGGCCCTAAGTGTTAGTGTGTCCCTCTTCCCAGAAAAATGCACACAAGTGCTAAATTGCACATTCATTTCCATCCAACTGGAAGTTCTGATCCCCTTGAAATTCAGCCCTAGAAACAAAAAAGCGAAACTACTAACTTGGTATCCACTTTCTACTTAAATAAAAATGTGTCGGGCTTCCCTGGTGGCTCAGTGGTTGAGAGTCCACCTGCCGATGCAGGGGACACGGGTTCTTGCCCCGGTCCGGGAAGATCCCACATGCCGTGGAGCGGCTGGGCCCGTGAGCCGTGGCTGCTGAGCCTGCGTGTCCGGAGCCTGTGCTTCGCAACGGGAGAGGCCACAACAGTGAGAGGCCCGTGTACCGCAAAAAAAAAAAAAAAAAAAAAAAAGTGTCAATCTCAGAGCTAGGATTACAGATTTAACTCCCCCCTAGTCTTCTGTTCCATAGGTTATCAAGAGAGTTGTTTGGGTGAAAGGTGGGCCACTATGACCAGAAGCTCTACTTTACTAGCTGGAGGCTGATCACAGAAGACCCATTGGACTTAATTTGTAGCATTTTACCTGCAAGCCATAAAGAATTCCACTACCAGATACATGGCACAGGAAATATCCTTTATTATTCTGTACACTTAATTTTCCATGAAGAGAACAGCTTTTAAAATAAATGCACACACCAGATATAGAAATATGCATGACATTGGAACAGTCCATGACACAGGGCACCACTGAAAGAGTCCTTATTTACATAAAAGTGGAGAAACAGAGGGATGAGGGCGGGAACCCCAAAAGCTACCTCACATTCACCAGAATTTTGGTGACTTCTATGATCGCAGCTATAGCCATGCTGCACATCGCAGAGCTGTGGATTTTGGGACTCATAAGAGCATGACAACTTACCCTCAAATTCCGCAAAACAAAAGGGTTGGATTTATTTTTTTAAATACCAAGTGTTTCTGGCATCAGTTGAAGAAATATTGTCGAAAAAGGAACTACTGAATGTCCAGAAAAATCATAGTTCTGATATGTCTCTGCTCAGTAGTAGGTTATTGGTCACTAGATCATTCTGGAAAGTCCTACAGTAAACCGTGTGCTTCCTTCATTGTAAATCTACAACAATAACATTGTTACGGAGACAGGAAAATTTTTTTTTACTGGATGGGACCTTTGATCTCTGATCCAACCCTTGCTTTTACAGACAGAGAACTCTGAAGCCCACAGAGGTGGAGCCCCTCTCCCCAGGTGACCCAGTAAGACAGCCGTAGACCCAGGTCTGTGCAACTCTAAGTGCTGTGCTGTTTCCCCCACGCCACACTCCCTCTCTGTTCTTCTCCCTTCCATGGCTTTCAAAGGAATTAAAGAAATGAAATGAGCTCAGTGGGCTTCTTACTAGGAAATGACATCTTTGGTAAGAATGTTCGGTCTCACATTAACGGGATCATTTGGCAAGAGACTGGCTCCCACCTGGGCCGGAACCCCACTGAGAATTAAGGCAGCTTTTAGGACCTTTATTTGGCACGATATTTGGCATGAGTTGGCAGGTCCCCTTCTCCTCTGTCTCATTCACATCTAGAATGAAGACCGACTCAGGTCAACACTAAATGTTATAATTAGACATTGAGTAGATGTTAACGGGATGGTATTAAACAGATATTTTTACACTTCATGGAAAATAATAATTCTTTAAAAAATCTGGTAAAGTATCAAAAGTGCTCTATACAGTACACAGGAGCACCCTTATCCTGGATAACCGCTACTATCAAAAAAAATGTCCTCAAATAAGAAGTCAAACATTACTTATGATAAAGCCCATGCTCCCTCTCCATCGAGTGTGGGTGAAAGGTGAACCCAGAAGGTCTGCCAGCACCTCCTTGAAAATGTCCATGGGTGTCCCGGGTCCCCCCATCTCCAGAGCCCCTCCCCAGGCTCGGGAGCCAACTTCCCGCGCAAGGCAGCACCACTGGGTTGGTTGGTGTTGGTTCAGGTAGCACCGCATCTCTGATTCGCCTTCAGACAAATGTCTGGAGGCAGAAGGGCCACGTGCTGATAGCAAAGAGCAAACGTCAGGCTCTCTCTGAAGGGTGCCCCTGATACACAGGCTTTTCTGACTCATTTCTGCCAAGTAGACTCAGCTTTTCACAACCCGCTGTTCCCTAGAGTGATTATTTTCATCAAAGGAGAGCAGCTAAATCATTTCCTCTCTAGCAACCAGCTAGAGGAGAATAAATGACAACCCCCCCACCCCCCCCTTCTTCCAACACATTGTTCTTTTGCTAAGAAATATGCCTTGGCCACTTGACTGGATGGATTTTTGTTTATGTTTAATGACAGCCCTGGGTGGGGTGAACCATATTGTGCTGGGAATTTCAAAGTGCTCTCAGCTGAGAGTCAGGGGCTCTGACTTGAGTGTCCAGCTGGATCCCTTAGTAGCTGGGGAACCTTGAGCAAGAATGACTGAAATGCTGGACCTTGGTTTTCTCACCTGGAGAATGGAGACACAGAAGCCAGCCCTGCAGTACTTGCTGGGCGGATGGGAGTAAACGTGGATGAAAGTGCTTTGTTAAAAACAAACAAGCTGTCACACCTAGGGAGGAATCACCCTTCACGGGAGGAGTCAGTCACTTGTGAAGCCAAATTCCATCAGTGACAGGTCACCTTGCTCTCATTCCCAGACCCCTACCTGTTTGTTCCACTCTGTTGGATGCTCCCAGGCCCCCTGTTTTTCAGGGTCCAAGACACCTGCCACTTGGGCTGTCTCAGATTTTGAACTGAACTTTTTATATGGAAAGATCCAAGGTCTCCTGATTTTCCTGCTTTTCTTTAAAGAATGACATAAGGACCCTGTCCCTGGGAGAAAACCACCGCCCTGCCCCCAGACAGCCCATCTTCCACAGACTGCAAGATCAATAGATGAGGCTCAGGGACACCCCACTTTCCCCAAAGCACCTTTTGGATGTGTGTCACCCTCTACTCCCAGTGGAAATGATGTGGCTTTTTTTTTTTTTTTTTTGCCCAAGATTCTGCAACAGGGGCTCCCACAGTCAGGACAATAACCCACAACTCTAGATTGCCAGTGAGAGCGTAAGAAACTCAGACCATATGTTAAAAAAAAAAAAAAAAATTCCAAATGGATGCCACCGACTTACCAACTACAAATCGCTTCTCTGAATGAGCTGAGACTAGCCACCAGCACCACCAGAGGGCACCACTTATAAGTTTGTATCAGAAATCAACCTGAAATTCTCTACAACCGCCAACCTGCTCCGTCAATTGAGACTATTCTCCCCTCAACCTGAGTGACCAGGGTGCTATATGCTTGGTTCCATGCTGCCCTCCACGGTGCAAAGTATGGCCCATGAAGAGAGACAAAGGGAGTTTTCAGGGCCCACTTCCCATCACTTGAGACTTCTGGTCCAGGCTGGGTGGGATTCCCAGGGACAGGCTTTGCAGGTGTCTGTGAACAATACAGAAACAGACAGCCTGGGGGGCTGCCCTTGGACACACACCTGGCCCCGTGAGGACAGCAGAGGATCCCGTAGCGGAGACACGCAGCTGGCCTTGCTGGGTTCCTGTCCTGAGTCCCCCAGGAAGGTCTCACGAGCCACAGGTAGGTTCCTGAGCTCTGTGCATCTGGCAGAGCGAGACCCGCATGTGGTCTCTACAGACTTGTCTGCTTCTTCTGCAGAAGCCACTCACTGTGACACCCATCGCTCTGGACCCTCTGAGCGCCAGAAACCCGAAGAATATTCCAGAACACACACAAATCAAACGCAGGTCAACCAGAGTGAAAACTAACTATGAAGATTTCTGCTCACGACCCCCCAGAGCTTCTATCCACGGACTTCATAACAGTGACAAATATCCCCAAGCTCCCCAACCAAGGTCCAAACAACAGAGCACTGACCGGGGCAGACGAGAGAGGCAAGATCTCTGCACCTCCCAAACTCAGCTGGGCTTTTTATTTGTGTTTTGGTTTTACAGTGTCTGACCAAAAAGCAACATCCTCTGTCTGATTTGGTGGACTGAGGATTTCTTCTGTGGCCCAAATTACCAGCAAACGAGGTGGGGAGTCCTGCCCGAGCCCGTGGACGTCAGCTTGGGCCGGTGCCCACACTGGGTGAGACTTCCTCAAAACTAAAGAGGTTTTGACAGAAGTCATTCTTCCTGTTCCCTCCTCTCCCACAAGGCCTAGCAATCCAAGCTCACAGCCCTCAGGCCAGGTGAACAGAAAGTGAACGAAAACCCGGTCACTAAGTCAGTCGTAACTTGGAAAAGAGGAAGAGGGGGGTCGGAGAGGAATCCCCAGACAGTGTCTGGGGTGGTTGGAAACCTTTGACCTGAACGTTGGTGCAGCAGGGTTCCTCCTCGGGGTCAGATTCAGATGGCCAGCCAGTGTTCCAACTGCAGAGGAAGACGGCAAGGCTGTTAGGCCAGGGCCAGGGTGGGCAGGGACTGAGGGACAAGGGCCAGCTGAGAAGGGCAGTAAGACACGTGGAGGGGCAGAAAACACAGCTGTTTCCTTCAAAGACCCTCGGGACACGCAGGCCAATCCCCTAATTGTCACGGGCACCCAGAAAGGGCAAAGGAGCCTTCACAAAGTCACACAGTAAGTCTGAAACAGGGGGGCTCACCGGGACCCTCCTGGCTCCCCCACCCCCATTTTTTACAGGGGAAAATGGTAGGACTCAGGTCAACACGTTACTGATGTACCTACAGCGCTTCCTTCAAGATAAGAAATCCTCAGCCTGATATGGGGATACTCCATGGTCACAACTCAAAGAGGGAGAACCGAGTTTAGGAAAGTCTGGGCATTTGGCATCTCAGGACCAAGGAGTGGAGGGGCAGGCGAAAGCTGGTAGAAGGCAGAAGACAGGCCCCTCTCCTCTGTTCGTAACATCACACCCCCAGGGGCTATAGCCCACAGCTGCCCTGGGTTTTCTGGAGTGTGGTGTGTGGTCTTGCCTCCGATAGCACAGCAGGGAGCAGTAGGGCCCCCGCCCCGTGGCCCCCATCAAAATGGTCCAAGCTGCACCTACTTGGAACTGCCTGACGTCCCTCTGGGCCACCAGGTGATGCTCGTTCTCTGGGGTGATGCCATAGGCCAGTCTCTGTGAAAGGATGGAGAAGGGGAGGAGGCCTCAGCTTGGCCCAGGGACACCCTTCCAGCAGCCCAGAGGACACCACACATCAGGGCCACCTGCTATTTGGCCCTGAAGTCTCACATGGACAGCAGGAGAGGTTCATACAAGACACTCCCCACCCTGGTTTGTGGAGCTGGTTGGTTCACTTTGAGACGTTCATCCAGTGAATGTTTATTGAGTCAATGACTGTAGTCACACACTGGCCTAGGCCCTGGGGATCCAGAGCTGAAGGTCACCCACACATTCTGCTTTGGGAGAGCTTACAGCTCATGGAAGGGGCCGACACTGAACAGAAACACACACAGGCAATTTTACAACCACAATTGGAGTCAGTGCTGCAGAGGACAAGTTCAGAGCACAATGAGAACTCAGTAATGGGACCTCAGCCCTGCCTGGGGATTGGGGCCGCCTCCTTGGGCTGCAGACACAGGGTGGACTCAGGGAATGAGTCTGGAATCAATGTCTGATCACTAGAGGGGGATCCCAAAGTGTGGAGAATAAAAAGCTCAAAGCAGGTCCTGGTTCCATGTCCGGGATGAGCTCACAGAACATGGATCCTCCCAGTGACCCAGAGGTTCCTGGACTTTGGGATTTCATGGACAGGAAACATGTCACAGGGGGAGGGGGGTCCCAGCCCTGCCTGGCAGATCATGCGTATATGTATCTGCAACGTACACAGGTCAAAGAAGAAAATCTATTTTGGAAATCTCTGGTTTAGGCTGATCAGGTATCAGGTTCACAATAGAAGCAGGTGAAAGCCAAGATACAAGGTCACGGTGAGTTTGGATGGGGAGAGTGGGGGACATCTGGGGACATGACAAACCTTAGGAGGTGGGACACAGGAGTGGGCACAGTTAATGCAGATTAACTGCTCCTTAGGGGACTGGAGGGCTGAGCTCCTCACATAAACAACGGTAGGAACAGAGTGGGAGCACACGGTGCATATGACGTTCAACACGATAGCAGGTGCCGTGTGGTGACCATCTACCACGTGCCAGGCACTGTGCTAAGCACTTCCTTTCACCTTTCAAGGTCTGTATGATTACCCCAGATTACAAATGTGGAACCTGAGGCTTGGAGGTAGATAACGTGGCCAACGTGGCAGGTCCGTCTGACTCTAGATTCCGTGTCCTTCTGTCTCCCTCTTTCACCCCAGCGGGAATGACTCGGGATGCCCCCTCCCGTGCTGTCCCCCACCCTCCCCCAGGCTCCGCCCAGAGCTCACCTCGCGAAGGGAGCCCCGCGTGCTGAGGAACTTGTAGACGACGTAGGCGGGCACCAGGACCATGGAGGAGCCCGCGATGCCCCACCCGACCCAGTTGGCCCAGAGTGGGAAGATGTAGTCATCGTAGGTGAGCGGCTTGAAATTGATGATGCTCACGACCACCACAAACTGGGGGGAAGGGACAGAAGGAAGAGGGAGAGAGACAGGGAGAGGGGAGAGAGAGGGAAGGAGGCGGGAGAGAGGGAGAGATGCAGAGAGGGACCAGAGGGAAGTGAGGACCAGCATGTGAGATGGATGCAGGAATGGAGAAGATAAGGAAGGAGGGAGATCGAGAGAGAAAGGAGGAAGAATCCAAGTAAGGAAGGATAACAAAAAGGAGACAAAGAAACAGGAGCGATACAAAGAGAAGACTAGAAAGGTGACCTTGGAACTGAGTGGTGGCACAGACAGCCCCCGGCCCAGACCTGGCCCCAGGCTGGCGACCCCTCTCATGTGCAGCCTCCTGGGAATCAACAGGGCGGAGCATCCTGAGCATCTGTCTGCGTGACCAGGCCCTGCATCCCAACCTCCTCCCCTTAGAAGCAAAGATCCCCACCCCCACCCTCACCCCAGACACACAGCACCCCTCACCCGAGGATGCCCAACCACGCACTACACACCAGGAGGAACGCAGGGCTGACAAACTTCCAGCAGAGTCTCCAGTACAGGCCCGGCTTGAACCCCATCATCTGCTGGATGTCGTTGCTGAACCTGTCCACACCTGTGCACACACAGGGCAGGCCCATCACAGAGGCCCCTGCAGAGCCTGGGGCCACCCCTGCTGCCTTCCCAAGAGGGTCTGTCCCCAAGTGGAGAGCAGAACAGTATCTCCTAAGACAGGGATACCCTGGCACTTAGGAGACCTGGGGACAGGCACTTGGCTGGTTCAGAACAGGGGAGAGAACACACTCAGAGGTAGCATCCCCTCGTAGGTGCCGCCCCAATTCCTTTTTCAGAGGGAAAACCAGGGCTCCGGGAGGGGAGGGGACTTGGCCCTGGTTACACAGCCAGTGTGGCCTGACTCCAAAGCCCAGCTCTTTCCTCCCACTTCCTCTCTCTTAAAACAATGATGGCTGTGTATATAGAGCTTTCCATGACTTTAATCTGGTAGAAGAGATCAGACTCTTTCCAATGAGTAGAAAAGAGTGAGTGACACATGGGGAAAAAATGAACAATGACAACACATTACACTTTCTACCATGTTCTCCCCATTCAGCTCTGGAATAAGGTTGCCAGAGAAGATAGAGGACACTCAGTTACACTTGAATTTCGGAGAGACAACAAAAGTCATTTTAGTTTAAGTAATTTCATGCAATATTTGGGACATATACTTAAAAAAATGATTCATTATCTGAAATTCAAGTTTAACTGGATGTGTCATATTCCAGATTTGCTAAACCTGGCAACCCTACTCTAGAATGAATTACATGGCTTGAGGAGCAGCATCTTCCTCTGAGTTCCTCTCTAACAGCTGACACTGGTGCCTTTGGGGCCTTTGCCTCCTCCTTTTAAAGGGAGCTCATGCAAAGATGAGCTGAGGGCTGGAAGAGCTGTGTCCGATAAGCAACTTGCTCAACTCTGGGATCAGCCAGTGACTGCCCTGGAAATGGAAAGCCCCTTTGCACCTCCAGGTGAAAAGGCTCCAGAAGCACATGGGGCCCGAGGTTTTTCCACACGCTCAGGACCCAGCACGTACCATAAAACCAGGAGACGCCTATGGCCTCCATGAGCACAGCAAACAGAATGGAGGTCCCCGCCGCAAACGTGTCCAGCAGGGTCAGCACATATATTCCACCCTGGGGCATGGACAGAGAAAGCCTGAGGCCATGATGGATAGAAATAGCTATCAACTGTTACATCCATCAAAATTGAGCTGTCCCCTGTCCCACTCACTCAGGACTCACACCCACCCGCAACACAGGTAATGGGGTTTCTGATGCTACTGTGTTGCTGCTATGTATTCTATGTATTCACTGGGTCTGAGGGTGGGGACTTCAGACAGTAAAAAGCAAGATGGATTTTATCAATGAAAAAACAAATGTTGCCCGCCATATCAGTAAACAAAAGATGTTGCAGCCATCACATTATAGCCACCGCTCTGAAGGTGAGCTCTGAGGGAATTCGGGATAGAAACAGGATGCGCGCCATCTAGCAGTCAGCAGAAAGCTCGGATACCGGCCCTAGATAGCTGAGGTCCATATCAAAGGAATGATTTCAGTGAGCCCAAACTCTTGCATCTTCCCATACATGGAAAAGCACGAAATTCCTTAACTTGAGATGTCTGGTTTTCTTTAGTCAACAGTAATCTTTTGATGTGACAACTAGCTGGTCTTTGTCACAAAATCTCACGTACCCTGGATCCTCCCTTACCTCTCTGGAGCAGTCCCTCAGAGCTATCTGAGATGCTGTGTCCCAGGCTTAAGTCCTCAGTTTTGTCCACCGAATAAAACATAATTCTCAGCTTTCAGGTTGTGCACTTTTTTCAGTTGGCAGTTTAAAATGGACTTTTGCTGTCCCCCCAAACCAACAAGCAGTTGAAAGATTTGTCTGGATATCCTCAGGCTCAGAAGGGACAGATAACAACGGGGTGTAACCCTAAGGGACTGGGCCACAGAGTTCAGGATACCAGGCACTGCCATGGTTCCCCTGAGCTCACCCTAGCCCTACCCCCCAGCTTCAAGTCTGGGAATATCTGGCTGGATTGAAATGCAGCCTCAGAAGTCCCAGGTGACCCAGAGCCCAGCCCCCCTCACCTTGGTTATGCAAAGCAGGGCCAGAAGGAAGGTTCCAAAGGAGACACCAAATGTGAAGAGTTTCCGGTGTCGTTTCAGGACCTGGAAGTCGTCTGCCAGGCCCGTGATGACCGCCTCCATGCCTCCCATCTGAAGGGAACCAGGCAGGTGGGATACAGGGGTGAATGAAAAATGTTGTCCAACATATCAGCAAACAAAGGATGCTGCAGCCATCAAGCCATCAGCCACTACTGCTGCCCCCGCAAAGGTGCACCTGAGGGGACTCAGGATGGGAAAGAAAGGATACTGGCTCTAGATAGATCTGGTGCACATCAAAGGAATGATTTCAACGAGCCCAGACTCTTGCATCTTCCCATATATAGAAAAGCGCTAAATTCATTAACTTGAGGTGTCTGGTTTTGTTTAATTAACAGTAATCTTTTGATGCTCTGACCACCTGGTATTTGTTGCAAAAACTCCTACATATCCTGGCTCCTCCCTGACCTCTTCAGAGCAGTCCCTCAGAGCAATCTGAGAGGCTGCCTCCCAGGCTTGAAGTCCCCAGAAAGTCTGCCAACTGAAACATAATTCTCAACTTTTAGGTTGTGCATATATATATATATATATTTTTTTGCCACACTGCGTGTATGCGGAATTGCTAGCTCTCCAACCAGGGAGTGAACCCGTGCCCCCTGCAGTGGAAGCTCCAAGTCTTAACCACTGGACCACCAGGGAAGTTCCAGGTTGTGCATTTTTTTTTCAGTCAACACAGGAGTGAGGGACTCTCCGAACCCCAGTTTCAGGCCTCCCGGCTCCCTTGGACCTCCCGCAGCCCTGGACTCATGAACCCTGGAGGCTGCCTTGCTTCTCTAGAGAAATCAGCAGATTCTCCCTTCTCCCCATCCTCTCACCCTACTTCTGCCCTGTTCTCAACCAACCTCAGAACTCAGAAACCATGTGGGAGAGGGTGAAGAGTTAACTCCTGTCTCCCCCTTATCAACAGGGACCTGACTCCTGTCCACTCATTCAGCCTGAGTGGATGCTGATGAAATACCGTGTGGGAAGAGTGGCTGGTTAGAGAACAAGAGGTCTAGCTACGCCCTCTCTGAATTCAGTTTCCCATCTGTAAAAAGAGAGTATTGGGCTGGCTTATCTGAGGTCCCTTCTAATGTAGAGTTCCATGATGTCAAGTAGGTTTTTCTTGGTTCTTGGCTTTGGCCTAAATCTTGCCTTTCTGAGTGAGTACTGATTTCCTTGTTTGCATTTAAATAAAGTCTTCTGCAAACAACTACCGATCAGGGGCTTGAATGACGCGGGGGGAGGGGGGGAACTTTAGACTGAGTAGTGTGAGTGTATTTAGGGGAGGGAGGGTCAGGTCTAGTGGTGTCTGTGGGGGGATGGTATCCCCAGCAAGGTCACTCACTGAGCTGTCAATTCCCAGAGCCAGGAGCATGACAAAGAACACGACAGCCCAGAACGTGGATCCAGATAGGGTGGAAATGGCTTCTGGGTACAGGATGAAGACCAGGCCAGCTCCTGTAAGAAACATCAAGGACCTCATTAATAGCTGGGACTGTTGGTCTGAGCTGCAGATGATAGGGGAGCATTTTGAGGCCCAACAAGTCCTAGCCCAGCCCCATGATATTTGGGCAGTCATGTGTAGATGGAGCAAACCAAGGTCTAAAGATGACTGATGAAACCAGCTTCAGCCTGAGTTCACCTATGCACCAAGGAGGTTGACCTCAAACAGCCAAGCCAGAGGGCAGTGCCTCTCCTGGACAGCTACAGGCAATGAGCCTCAAACCCCACCTCCTGCACCCCATGAGGGATCCTCTTACTCTCAAAACTTTGTGATTTTCAGAGTCCATCAGAGGCAGCCCCTCCCCAAGTCTTGGCCTGTTTGTGGCCATAAGAATATGAGAGGCAGTGGGGAAGGACACGAGCTGTTTGAACAACTTCAATCTCCTGAGTCTCAGCTTTCTGATCTTTAAAGTGGGTCTATTAACACTTGCCTAGTAACACTGCAAGAACTAAACCAAGATACGTCAAGTGCTTAGCACAGGGGCTGGTACAGAGTCAGTGCTCCAAAATCTATCTGGTCTGGCCTGACTCAGAAGATGATTCTGCCTGGACTTCCTACTGATGGCCTCAAAGAAAGTGGGCAGCTGGGAAAGCTCCGTGTCCAGTCCTCTCAGTCCCACACCCACAGGAGAACTGCTAAGAAAGAGGTGAGTTTTGCAGCCCCCGCCTCCTCAGTAGTCGAGTCTGCCCACCCACCTTCAGTGGCAACATCCTCAATGTTGACTTTGTGTTCATGGGCCATGTAACCAAGGATGGAGAAGATGGCGAACCCAGAGATGAAGCTGGTGACACAGTTGATGGTGCTGGTGAGCAGGGCGTCCCTGAGGGAAAAGAAAGCACTGTTAGTTCAAGTGGTCTGGCTCTCCCCAACCCCACTTATGGACTGCTGGACCATCCATGGAATCCACAGCTTCAAATGCCAACCTCCTCTTCAGCGTCCCTGCTGCCACATGGGCCCCCAGCACCCCACCATCACAGGGTCAGAACCTGTAGGTGCAGGAAATAGGTCAGCAGCTTCTGGATGAAACACTTTGATACCAGAGCCTGATATCAAACTCTTGCTGGGAAATCGAGTCACGAGCCTCCTTCCTCAACAAACTTTCTGTGGCTCCCCAGTGCCTCTCAACTTTTCACCCAGGCATTCAAGAGCTTTGCTGAGATGACCCAAACTTCTTTCCAGGCTTATTTCCCATGACTCCCCAACACGTAATCTCTGAGCAAACCAGTCAACTTGCTGGTTCACAAACACACCACCTCCCCTGGCTTTGCTCATGCTGTAAGTTGTCCACTCACTCCGTGTCTGCCTATCCCAACCCTAACTATCTTCCAAGGTTCACCTCAAATGCACTTCTATGCTCTTGCTGACCCGCCATCAGGTGGCTGATCACCCCATTTCCTTAGCCTCCCTAAAGCCTGTCCCACTGGTATGCATTCATCCTACTCTGTCTTGTACCAGGGGGGTTATGATTCTGTCTTAAGCCTTTGATAGAGAGGGATGGAAGCAGCCCCATCTGTGCCCATGTCTGAAGCCCTCACAGCACTGGGGCTGCAGGAGGCAGCATTAAATGCTTACAGGACCAGGTGATCTAGAGCATGGTCCTCTGACTCTATGGCACTGAGCAGACTTCTCGTTCTGCTGTGTGGTCTTAAGCTCTGACCCTGCTAGGCCCTCACCCCTCAAGCAACCAGCCTGGATATTCCAACCTTGTCTGCCTGGGCATCAGATGGACAGACAGGCAGTGCTGGCTGCTCTGAAAGCCACACAGTGCCCCTCTGTCCCAGCTACGCACCCTCATGATATCCCAGTGTTAGTGGCCTCAACTTTCCCAGCTCCTCACCCTGCATCTATTTGGGAGGTGTTCTGAACTGACATCTGTTCATCAGGACCTCCATAGGCCATGTCGGAGTTCACAGGACATCCAGGATGGTCTACTTTGCTTCATTTCATGGGGAAAGAAACCCAGGCAGAAAATTTGACTTGTCCCAGACCAGAGCCCTCTCTCCCATCCCTGCAAGGGTTGATTCCCAGGATTTAGAGCTTTCCAGAGCCCCGGGAAGGATCTTACCTATAGCAGTTGTTGTCAAATTTGTTGTAACTAGCAAATGCAATCAAGACACCAAATCCAGCGCCCAAGGAAAAAAATATCTGAGTTGCAGCATCAATCCATACCTGAAATGGGCAGATAAAGGCCATCACCCTCTGTTTCCACAGAATTGGACCACCTCATTGCTCCAGAAGGGCCGGGAAGTCCCAGGGATGCCCTAAGACCTGAGGAAATGAGGTCTGAACTAGAGATGGGCAGCCATGCAACTCCTGCTCTCCAGCAGCCTGTACAAAATCACTGTGGAGAGAGGCTGGGGTCTCTCTAGCATCTCCCAGCCTTGGGTGGTCATGAGTGAGCTCACCCCAGAGGAACCCACTGGCTCAATTTGACATCCTGATTTTCAAAGAAAGTTAATAAACAAAATGTTCTAGGCTAGAATGTGGATAGGGCAGGGGAAAAGGGTTATGACTATCTCAGGGGTTATGGAGACAACATCTTCAGAAAGGGGTAATGGTTCCTAGTAGCTTCTACGAACCCATAGACAGTGGTGACTCCTTGGTGGCCAGTGGGGTCTACTTCCTTCATCTTTTGGATGATGAAACTGCATGGCTGGAAGCCCGGAGATCTGAGCTCCTCTCCAACCTCTCAACCTCATGGTCTTGCCCTGGTCAATTTCACTGTCTATATCTCAGTTTCCTCATCTGTACAGTGGGGATAATTTTACCTAGCTCACCAGGACTTGGCCACAATTCGGATTTGTGAGACTTCTGTCATCTCCCCACTCGTGCTATTCTAGACCTCCCCTGCTTTGTAAGCAAAGGGTGTAATGAGAGAAGCAATCTGAAGGAGGAAGATAGATCTGCTCCCTGAGACGGCACTCAGGCTGAGTTTCTACTGTCCAGAAAGACTTAGGATATTTAAACAATGCAGAATAGATAGAACTCTGACTTGCTTCACAATTTACAAGGCTGTTTCATGTCTTACGCTCTGTTATTTTTCTGACAGTTACTAAGAAAGTAGGGTTTTCTCTTGGTTACTGGGCTGTAACACAGAGTTGTGCTGGGACAATGGGAGGTGTGTACTGGGAGGCGTCCGTCCTAATCCTATGTTGATCTTGCCTGCCAGGATTATTATGGGTTCAAGTAGACTGTGGGGAAGTCTTTGGGGATCATGAGGGGAAATATTGAGGTGTGGTCACTGAGGCAGACATGAGGGAGGAGGTTGGAAATAATCTCAGCTGTGATTTGAAGATGCTCAAGGCACTAGGAACCTCTAAGATTGTCCCTGTTCCCAGCCTCACAGTGCTACTTTGGACTCCACTCCAAATTCACCTCCACTTCATTGTAATCGCTGCCTCTGGGCAGGACAGTGAGCTGGAGAGGCTGCAAGGGGAGAGTCAGCAGGGTCTGGGTCTCCCTGCGGCTGATGCCGCTCCTTATGCCAACATCACAGATGGTACCAGAGGCCAGAGTTGGAGACCAGAGTAGAAATAGGGCTAGGGTGGCTGGGGTGATGCTGGGGCCACGGCACAGGGCAGAGGTAAGAACCCAGGACAGGGTATTGCTTTCCTTGAAAGGCGGGGTCTGCAAAGGCCACTCAACAGAACCACAGATCCCGAGCCATCAGAGCTGGACAGGCTCACGGAGACTGTCAGGTGCAAATCAAATTGGCCTTGATCAGGTAGAGAAGCTGCAGCCCAGAGTGGGAAGGATCCATCCCAGGCTACGCAGAGCTGGGACCAGATTTTCTTTCACTGCCTGCACCGAGAACCCTCCCCAACCCTAGCCCAAGGGTGGGTGGTCACTGGGCACTGACCGTGGCCTCTTTCAGACGGTAGAAGTCGATGTGCAGGTAGGCGTTGATGCCATTGGAAGCACCGGGCAGCGTGATGCCGTGGACCAGGAGTACAAACAGCACGAGGTAAGGCAGCGTGGCCGTGATCCACACCACCTGGCGGTGGGCAAGGTCGCAGTGAGGGCCCGACTCTGCCGCCAGCGGGGTGGGGGGCTGGCGGGGGGTGAGCCAGTCATACCCTCCCCACATGTTCCTTCACACAGTGTGCGTGCTAAAAGCTCCACCTCTAGGCCAGGCCTGGGGCACTCCAGGACAGAGTGGACAGACCAAGGATGCACCCAATGAGAAAGTCAGCACCCTGGGGGCAGCGCTGCCAAGGAAGCCAAGGGCAGTGAGGACGCAGACTCTCTCGGTGCCCAGCGCCTCCTGCTCTACCAGCTTCCTGCACTAACTAGCACCCTCACCTTTATGCCCTCCTTCCTTCCTTCTCTCCCCCCCTCGTTTACCTTCATTCAAGCGTGTCCTCCTAAGCTCACCGCCCAGGGAGGGATGTGGCTGGGCAGAAAGCAGAATCCCTGGCTGCTCTTTATTCTGGGATGGATTTAGGGCAAAGACAAAGTGCCTCATCCAGAAACCCATAAGGGAAGAAACTGTCCCCAGACTGAAAAGAGACACCAGCCCACCCTGCCCACAATGAAGAAACAGAGAAGAGAGGTGGGGAGAGGAGAAAGCTGCGTAGGCTTCCTTGCTGTTCCTTCTCACCCCTGACTATGCATTAGACTACTCTGGGGGAAGTTATAGACAAAAATGTCCAAGTTCAGACTCCGTTTTTGGAGTTTCTGATTTAATTGGTCTGGGATGGGGCTGGCACTCCATGCTTTAAAAGCTCCCTCAGGTGGATGCAGGGGACAAAGACAGGTGAGGATCATTTATTGAGCAATTTCCATCTGCTAGCCCAGCAGTGAGGACCTCTCATCCCATCCTCCCAGCTGCCCTGGAGGCGGGTAGGATCATGAACTGCCCTCATTTTGCTGGTGAGGACACTGAAGCTTAGGGAGCATCATGCATCCCGAGGTCACCCATTAGTGAATGATGGTGCCGGGACTCCAACCCATCAACCAACACAAAGCCGTGTTCTTAATCACTCACGCTACTGCATATTTGAGACCCACGTTCAAGTCCTGGCTCTGCCAAGACGGCTGTGAAACCCTGTCCCTCTCTTGGCCTCAGCTTCCCCATCTGTACAAGCAGGCTGGAGTACATGGCTTTGGAGAAACTTCCAGTTCAGCACTTAGGTGTTTGGTACAGGCTTGTAGTTTCTAAGTGCTGGTTCAGCCAACATCTATGAGCGGGGGGTGGGCAGACAGGACTCCAGGGTGGCAAGCAGCACTGTGTGCACACTTGCCCGATGCCCTGGGGGCTGACTGGCCTCCGCCCTCTACCCTGCGGTGGTCGGTGGGCCAGGGTCACAGAGTGTGTGGTCTGCGGTAACCCCTTTCCCTGATTCAGACTGTACCTTGCCCCCCAATATCCCAGCTGCCAGCTGTGGAGCCATCTTCCCAAGAACAGAGCCTTCACCGGCCAAGACAGGAAGTTTGAACACTTGCAATTCATTTCAGGCCAGCTCTGTGGCTTTGGCAGCCTGCTAAGAAAAGATCTGTGTCCTGTTCCAGACGTAGTCTGGGAAGAAATAAGCTTGGTTTTCTCATGAGCCAGAGTATAAAAACAATGAAAAACAGGACACTGCAATGTCCTGCATGAAGTTCCTTATTCTAGGAAGCCCCTCCCTATGGACTGCAGGGGTCCTCGCCTGCTCTGGAGGCAAAATGTGGGCAGGGACTTCAGGCGACAAGTTTCCATCTGCGGGGGGCTTCCTAGGGCAACACTCCTGCCCCATTCGTCATTACACTCCTCAGGGGAGGGCGTGAGTCCTCCTCCTCCAAAGGTGACTTTGCACAAAGAAACGGAGCATGCGAGTCTCCACTCCTTTTCCCTTTAGCATCAGTCTCCCCATAGACAACTCAGGCCTGCTCCAGCCAAGTGCTAAACAAGGTGGGGCAGGCTGTACCCCTTTGGCGATGGCTACAGCAAACTAAATCTTGAGGTGTAATATTAGAAGCCCGTGGTGGCCCCTCACCCAGGCCGGCAGCAGTAGTAAAGCTTATACACCTTCTGCAGCTCTGCTGCCTGCAGAGGCCAGAAAGGCCCTGCTTTTGATACCCAGGAGAGGCGCAGAGAGACTGGACAAGGCTGGCCTGGGGCTTCTGTAGTTTTGCTTGCAGCTGAAAACCCTTTCCCTCTGCCCCATCTCTACCTGACCTAGCCCAATGCCACCTTCTCCATGGTCTTTGCAGACCCTCTCAGTCTGAAGAGCTTCCTTCTTCCACTAATGTAACATCTTATGGTTTTTGGACCATGGGAACTCATGGTAAGAAAAACCTTATTTATCGAGACGTATGGGTTGCTATAACTGAAACGCAAAAATTCCACAAGACAGCTCTATCTTTAGTATGTGCAATGCATGCTGTTATTATCTAGACGATTTCATTTTGAAAAATTGTGGTGACTCACTAAATTGATTTAATGACAGTTAAAAAACCCAGTTTGTATCTCAATTAAAGTGCAACCTACCTGATGTAAAATTGTCTTCAAGGTAAAGTTAACTTTTTTAAAAAGCAAGATCTATAATAGTGTGTATAGTTTGTGACCATTAGTGTTTATTGAAAGGGGGCCACACATATGTCTCTGAACGGAGATGCAAGGAAATAATAACATTGACCTACACCTACCTGGCTATAACACACATAATACTACAATCAATTGAATCTGTCTTATTTCTTCTTGCATCACTAGTACTAGCATCAAGCCTGGCACATAGTAGGTATCCATAAATGTTTACCGAGATGAATTCAAAAGAACACTTAATGAAGTTCCCCAAACTTATTTACCCACCTACCCTTCATCCCTCACTACTCCGTCAATAAATATTTACTGAAGACCTACTATGTGTCAGGTGTTGGGATGGTTGTGGTCCTAGCCTGGTTTTGCTCTATCTTAGAATTCCTCCAAGCCCTGGTCTGCATTTCATTTGGGCTCTTCCTTGGGGCAGATACCATGTCTCCAATGCGCTGATAGGAAGTTCCACTTCAGGCTCTTGTCAAATTTCATTCCCGTTGGCTGCTGGTCCCATGTCACTATCTTTGCTATCTGTGGCATAACCAAGACTTTAGGAGAACCAGAGAGAACCCTGATGCACCCCACTTTTCAAAATCAGTTGCCTAGGGCTTCCCTGGTGGCGCCATGGTTAAGAATCTGCCTGCCAATGCAGGGGACACAGGTTCCATCCCTGGTCAAGGAAGATCCCACATGCCGCGGAGCAACTAAACCCATGCGCCACAACTACTGAGCCTGCGCTCTAGAGCCCACGAGCCACAACTACTGAGCCTGCGTATCACAACTACTGAAGCCTGTGCGTCTAGAGCCCGTGCTCCGCAACAAGAGAAGCCACTGCAATGAGAAGCCCGTGCACCACAAGGAAGAGTAGCCCCCACTTGCCGCAACTAGAGAAAGTCCACGCGCAGCAATGAAGACACAATGCGGACAAAAATAAATAAATAAAATAAATTTAAAAAAATTCAAAATCAGTTGCCTAATGAAGGTTCTCATAAATTCATGCCTACCTGATTATTGTTGCCTTGTAACCCCCAATGAACATACACACTGTGTGTTCCACACTGACTCTGGGCTTTACCACAAGACTTATCTTGTTCATTGGGACAATAGCAAGCATGATGAAAACAGAGACTGGAAGAGCTACTTGTACATTGGGGCTTGTCTGCTTGGAACATGCTCTTGGAACTCAGCCATCATGCTGTGAGATACCCAAGCTACAGGGCTAGGCTATGTGGAAACCACCCAAGGTGCTCTGGTTGACAGCTCCAGTTAAGCTCCCAGCCAGTACCAACTGCCATCCATGAGTGTTAGCCATCTTGGAGGTTCCAGCCCAGTCAAGCCCCCAGACATGTAGCTCAGGCAATATCATATGGAGCAGAAGAACCACCTTGCTGAGCCCAGTCAATCCACAGAATCATGAGAGGTAATAAAATGGCTGTTATTTTACATCTCTACATCTTGAGGTATTTTGTTACACAGCAATAGCTAACCAAAACACTGGACAGAATATTTCCCAGCTACAGCCTCTTTAATACATCCAAGCTCCACATGGACCCATAGGGTCCAAATGAAGCTGTTGTTCTCATGATATTCCTCAGGCTCAGAATCAATGTGGGCCATGACCTGAGTATACTCCACCCTGAGGTGCTGACTATGGGGGGCAGTGTCACCTAAGTCAGAATGCCAACTCTGACAGGCTCTCCTAGGTCATTGAACCCTGTGCTCCTCTCTCCAGGAAACGTAGACCCTTGCAAGCACTCTGCACTGTGTCAGTGGATGCCCCAGGATTCATCTAGATATCTTCTGGAGCGTTCTCATTTACTCAAAAATTCAGAGGTGGGAACAATCAATTTTATAGTGAAGGAAATGGTTATATGCTAGAGAAGGCTGCAATATTTGCATGCAGTTTTAGTCCAGAATTTAAGATTTATCAAACACATGTCAACAGGTTGCTTTGGGCTTTTTCCAGAGACCCTTGGGGTTCTCTGGTCTCTGCTATTAGGGAGGCTTTGGTGGGAAATTGTGAAGAACTCTGATCCACTTGCACTCCCTCATCCTACTGCTGGGGAGTCCTGGGCTTAGGGAAGGGAGGGGATTCATCTAAAGTCTCCAGCAAACCAGTGGCAGAGCTGGGGTGCAAACCCAGGTTTTGTACTTCTAGCACCACCTTTTCTTTTCACCAACTACCTGTTTATAGGTAGAAAAACCCATCTTTTTTGAGGCCAACCTCCCATCTGAAAGAGAAACAAAGATATTACCTTTCCTGATGTCTTCACTCCTTTCCAGAGGCTAAAAAACAGGACGATGACGACGACGATCAGACAGAGCAAGAGCTGCCACTGGGGCAGGCCAATGTCATGAATCCCACTGCTCTCGTGAAGGTGCAGGACGCCACGTCTGCGGGGAAGAGAGGGGAGCAGACCGGGGAAGATGGTGGCGTCAGGGAGGATGACCAAGGCCTCGACCACAGGCCAGTCCTCGAAAGTGCACATTGATGGAGACAGGCCTTCGGCTGCCCCGGCTACAGCCCTGCATCACTTGGACCTGCCCTGCACAGTCATGGCCTGTGCCCAGCACCTCCCTGCCCTGGGCCAGCAACTCATCTGGGGAGATGTCCCCACCCAAGGCTGCTTTTTAAAAGGTAACAGTAGCTTTCAACATAACAAATATCTCTTGAGTGCCACCTGCAAGCCAGGTCCTGGGGAGATGGTGGTAAATAAACAGAGGAAAGGTCTCTGCCCTCATAGCACTCATGGTCTAAAGCAGTGGACACTGGAACATTTGGCAATGTCTGGAGATGTCTTTGATTGTCACGACTTGGGTAGGAGACATTTAGAGGATAGAGAAGTGGGACATCCTATGATGCACAGGACAACCTAAACATCCTATAAGGCACAGGACAGCCTCCAAAATTCCCATGTTGCTGAGGTTTAGAATCCCTGGTCTAGAGACTGAGATAAGAGTAGACTTTTCTCCTATTTGGGAATATCTACCCCAACTAAAGGTATGTGTATCCTCTGCTTTAGCAATTCCACTCCTGGGTGTTTGCCCAGTAGAAACATGTACATATGTTCACCAAAAGACATGGTCTAGAATGTTCATAGCAGCATTATTCATAACAACCCCAAACTGCAAAATAAATATCTATAAACAGTAGACTACAGGGACTTCCCTGGTGGTCCAGTGGTTAAGAATCTGCTTTGCAATGCAGGGGATGCTGGTTCGATCTCTGGTCGGGGAACTGAGATCCCACATGCCTTGGGACATCCAAGCCCGTGCGCCTCAACTAGAGAGAAGACTGCGCACTGCAACAAAAGATCCCGCGTGCTGCAACTAAGACCCAATGCAGCCAATAAATAAATAAATATTAAACAAAACAAAACAAAAACAGTAGACTACATAAATTATGATATATTCATAAATTGGAATATTATATAGCAACTAGCTCTGTATGGATGAATCTCACACACCTAATTTCGTGAGAAGGAAGTCAAAACTGAAAGAGGACTGCTGGGGGCAGGTGATAAGGCTGTGGACAAGCAGGTGATGGCTCCAGCCACATGGAGCTCCTGGGTGACAATAGCTGGTGCAAACATTCCCCATCCTGAGCCTTTTTCCTCTTCAGTAAAATGGCTCTCACGAGGCTTACGCTGCAGAATGTGAGACAGTGCCTAGAACCCAGGAAATGCTCAGCGCCAATGGTCATTGTAACTATCATTCTGATTGAGTCCCAGCCTTCAAGGAGCAGCGGGCATTGGCAACGACGCTAAGGAGTGCCCAGAAAACTCAGCCAAGGGAGTCAGTGTGACGGGCTCCACTGAGGGGCTGGCTGGTGCCTTCTCTGCGGGCCTGTGGGAGAGCCGGTGAGTTGAGAAGGGGTGACCAGGTGTGGTAGGGGCGAGATGGGGAGAGGGAGGTGGGTGGTGACAGGCAAACAGAGGAGTCTGCAGTGAGCGCTCAGGAATGAATGAGCAGAGCTGTGTGGCTGTTCAAGGCCCACAAAGACCCATGTCCCCATCTCCAGAACGGCCTTCATCCCCACTGCCCCCAGGCAGGATGCTGTGGCTTTAAACTACTCACCCTGCATCAACTTCCCTGAGCAATCAGTCTCTGTGTCTGGCCCATCCTAGTCCTATCTCTTGGAAATCAGCTCAACCAACACCCCCGTCCTCATGGCCCGACGCTAGGCCAGACCCATATTCTGTTCCTCCAGGACTACTGTAAAAACCTCCCCATCCTCCCACCATCCCAGTCTCTCTACCTCCAGTCATCCTCCTTAAATCCACAGTCTGTGCTGCTGTAGAACCATCCGATTCATCTGAAGTTGTGTTCTAACTTTGTCACTCTTCTGCCCCCAAATCCTCAGAGGCTCCTTATTACCTAAAACAGTGGTTCTCACTGGGGGCAATTTTGCCTCTGCCTTCCCTGGACACTTGGCAACAGCTGGAGACATTTTTGGTTGTCACAGCTGGAGGGAAGAGGGGTGTTACTGGCGTCTAGTGGGCAGAAGCCCGGGATGGGGCTAAACGTCCAAAATGCACAGGACAGCCCTCCCACCGCAATTATCCAGCCCCAAATGTCAAAAGCATCAGCGTTGTGGAATCCTGGTAGAGAGGATAAAAACATAAGCCTTTCAGAATCGGAGGCCTTTCTCAATCGTCCTGTACCAAGTGCACCCCGTGCCTTGCCACACCATGCCTTTGGCTCCTGGCGACCACCAGCCACTTGTCATTTCCGAATTATATGAAGCTCTCGTCACTCTGGGCCTTGGAACCGTCTGTTCCTTTGTGCCTAGAACACACTTCCTGGCCCAATGTGTCTGCCTGGTGAACTTCTGTCCCTGCTAGTCTCGGCTCAAAAATGAGGCCCTGGCTGAGGTCCCTCTCCTATGCTGAGAAGGAGGGAGAGAGTGGGAGAGGGAGGGAGAGAGAGAGAAAGAGAGAGAGAGAAAGAGAGAGAGAGAAAGAAGAAGGAGAAGGAGGGGAGGAGGGGGAAGAGTGGGGGAGAGAGAGGAAAAGGGAAGGGAGGAGGGGGAG